TAAGAGACGTGGACCAGGATGACCAAGTCCGTCGTTCTGAGTGGGGGCAAGTGGGAGGCCTGTGGAATGAGTCGCCGGTGGGGCGCCAGGCTCCAAACGCCATTGACGACGTGAGCTAGCCAGGGGGGCTGAGCTGTCGCGAACCGCGGTGCAACGCAACTGGGGAAAGCTATGGTGAAGCGAAACGTCAATGCTTTTTCGCCGTTTCATAAAATCCGCCGACCCCTTGTGGGTCTCTAGGCGTGTGAGATAGTTCCCCCCCCCATCATCCCCCCCCCAGGGACCCCAAACCGGAGATTTGACCCCCCCCCCCCGGGCCCAGCACGAGCGCGCCACGGGGCTCTTTTGGGCCCAAAAAGGGATCAAGACGGGCCCAGAAGGCTCCAAGAGGCCTCCAAGACGGCCCACGAGGGCCCCGAGACGCCAAACGAGCGCTCCCACACGCCCAAGATGGCCCCAAGACGAGCCTAGAGGCCTCCAAGACGGCCCAAGAGGTCCCCACGAGGCCCCAAGAGGCCTCCAAGATGCGTCCCAAGAGGGTCCCTAGACGCAAAAATTGGCCCATTCCCTTCGTAAAACGTATAATTTTCACAAATTCGCTTTCTGGGCTTTCCGACGCTCCAAGACGGCCCAAGAGGCCCCGAAGACCGCCCCAAGACGGCCCAAGAAACCTCCAAGAGGGTCCCAAGATAGCCCAAGAGGGCCCCAAGACGGCCCAACAAGCGTCCAAAACGGCCCAACAGGGCCCCGAAAAGGGCCCCAAGAGCGCTCCAGGAGCGCCCCAAGTGGCCTCCAAGAGAGCTCAATATGGTCCCAGACAGCCCAAGAGCGATCAAAGACGTCGAAGATGGCCTCCTGACGGCCCAAGATGCCCCCAAGAGGCCCCAAGAGGCATCCAATATGCGCCCCAAGAGGGCCACTAAACGCAAAAATTAGCCCGTTCCCTTTGTAAAGCGTGCGTTTTTTTTTTCACAAATTCGCCTTTCGGGCTTTCCGACGCTCCCAGACGGCCCAAGAGGCCCCCAAGACCGCCCCAAGACGGCCCAAGAAGCCTCCAAGAGGGCCCCAAGGCAGCCCAACAAGGCGCTAAGACGGCTCAAGCGGCGCCGAAGACGGCCCAAGAGAGCCCCGATGGCGGCCCCAAGAGCGCTCCAAGTGGCTTCCAAGAGAGCTCAACATGGTCCCACACGGTCCAAGAGCGATCGAAGACACCCGAAATGGCCTCCAGATGGCCCAACGCGCCCTTGAGAGGCCCCCAAGATGCGTCCCAAGACGGTCCCTGGACGCAGACATGTACGTATTCCCGTCGTGAAACGTACAATGTTCACACATCCGCCTTCTGGGCTTTCCGACGCTCCTAGACGGCCCAAGAGGCCCCGAAAACCGCCCCAAGACGGCCCAAGAGGCCCCCAAGACGGCCCCGCGACGGTCCAATATGGCCCCAGGACGGCCCAAGAGGTCCCCAAAACGGCCCCAGAAGGCTCCAAGACGGCACCAAGAGGGGCCCATGAGGGCAACCAACAATTCAAAAATCTACCTTTCCGCCCCCACGAGCCCCAGGGGGCCCCAAGAGCGCCCCAACAGGCCGCCAACGGCCCTCAAGAAACCGCCAAGACGCCCCAAGGAGCCCACAAGAGGCCCCCAGGAGGCCCCCAAAAGACCCCCAGACGCTTCCGTATTGCGAGCCGTCACGCCAACTGCAATGCACTCCGCGCATACAACCTTACTCTTCCTCGCGACGTGCTCACTATCTTGCTCGGCGCTAATGTGCTGCTGCCGCGCGAACTGTTTCGTGCGCGCTGCGAACGTCAACAGCCTCTTCACCCGTTTCGATTCATCTGCCACATCTTTCGCTGTGATGCTTCGCTGATCACAGCTTCCACACACTACTCTTGCTCCTTTCGTCTTCCAGTGCTCCTCCACTTGGTTGCGGGTCGAAAGGCCGACCTCCCAGAAGGACACCCCGCACCCGGGTGCACAGCACGCAAAGCGCTCGCAAAACACGCCCCAGACCACCGGCATCACGCAAACATTTGGACCCCCTACGTATCTGCCACCACCCGCGCGCGACACCGCACCCTCACACAAGACGCCGCTGGCCAGAAACTCCTGGCCTCGCAACACTCACAGAAAGGGTCGGCGGATGTGGCGTAAGCCTGTAGAGTCGCCTGCTGTCCCTGGATGGGAAACCAGGAGCTGCTGCCGAGTTCGCAGGAAGACGCTCGCTTCAGAACAAGACGTCGTCATCGCATCTGTGGATCGCACGTTCATGCAAAGTTTGCCTCTGCAACCGAGCGCTCATCCAGGGCTGACACCTGCAGAAGGGAAGTGCGGTGAACGCATTCCTCCGAAGGCGTCCTTGCCTCCTGGTGGTCATCTTCTCCGAGCGACCCTGCGACTGCGAAGCCAGCATGCCAAAGGTGCTTGAAGTAGAAATTGAGAATTTAGATACATGGTGCCCTGCTGCGTGTGCCCATGGGCAACCTTGATTTGAACCTTCCCGAAATTCAGCCACTGCGGATTCTCGTCGTGGACACCTTGAGCTTGTAAACGGAGGCCGCTGCTGTGTTTTCCTCTACCCACGACCCAGTCATGCTCAAATCCTGGAAATACATGTCTGCGCATTGTCCACCCAACTGGCGCGCCTCGGCCTCTGCGCGAAGCGTCGCGTTCTTGTTCCTTCCGCGGGGGATGTTGATCAGGACATGGTTGCCTGGCTTCATCATATCGAACCGCTGACCAAATACATTTGCCAAGTGGGGATCGCCAATCGCAACGACGCCTGCTCCGCCCGCAATGGGGCCTACCGGAAACGTCGGATGTGGCGTCGGCCAGCCTGGAGGATACGTCGGGCTGGGCGTCGGACTGGGCGTCGGGAAGGGCGTCGGGAAGGGCGTCGGGGAGGGCGTCGGGAAGGGCGTCGGGTAGGGCTTCGGGTAGGGCGTCGGGAAGGGCGTCGGGACGGCCGTCGGATAGGGCGTCGGGTAGGGCGTCGGGTAGGGCGTCGGGTAGGGCGTCGGGTAGGGCGTTGGGTACGGCGTCGGGAAGGGCGTCGGGTAGGGCGTCGGGTATGGAGTAGGGTAGGGTGTCGGACTGGGCGTCGACTGTGGCGGCACCTTTTTTCCGGACATCCTCTTCCTCCTCCTGCTTCGTCCCCAAATCACAAAAAAACATGCCATTGGGCTTCGAGAGTATGGATGCAGGGGGGAGATCAGCTCACCAACCCTCTGGGCGAACGTGGCCTAACGCCATCGTTCGCTCCGTTTCCCAAACCCTCTTCCATTCGGCGAGGGGTGCCCTCCCCCTACCCCTCCCTGTGTCTTTGTTATTGTTTTTGCGGTTTGGGGGGGAGGGCGGGCCGCGATCTGGCCCAAGATGGCTCCAAGAGCGCCGCCCATGGTGAAGGATAGCGTGCGACATCCCATCCCAGAGGCCCGACGAAGGCCACAAGATGGATCCAAGCGCTGTCGGAGCCCCCCACGGGACCTTCCCCAAGAGGCCAACATCCTTCAACAAACTAAGGGACACCACTGGCGTTTGCCTTCTCACCTGTTCGTTTCCGATGCGCTTTTGAAGCCTCAAGATAGCCCCAAAATGGCCCACGAGAGGCCCAAGAGGGGCCCAAGATGCCCCGCAGACGGCCCCAAGAGCGCACAATAGCGGCGGCCCAGGAGCGTCCCGCAAGGGCCACAAGAGGCGGTGCCCCAAGGGGGGAGGGGGGCGCACATAGGGCCCCCCCCCTCCTGTGGTCGACGCCCTACAAGATGGCCTCGGGAGGAGACCGGCGCATGAGAGGCTTCGGCCCGCGGGCCCCGCCGCGATGAAACACGCGCAACCAAAAGTTCAGACTCCAGCTGACGGCAGGAAAACAACGATCGGGAAGATAGCACCGGACGGGAGGAGGGGAACGGACGCAGCGGACAGCAGACAGGAGGAACACAAAGGACGGCAGAATAGCAGCACAAGGGGACAGCGCAGACAGGAGGAACAAAAACGAACGGGGGGAGAGCGGCGGACGGGAGGAGAGGATCGAACAGCAAGATAGGAACGAGAGGCGAACAACGGACGGGAGGACAACAGCACAAAGAAAGAAACCAGTGGATGGGAGGGGAGCAGCGGACGGGAGGGCAGAAGGCAGGGACAACAACGGGCGGGGGGAGCAACGAACGGGAAAACAACAGCGGACGGGAGGAGAGCAGCTGACAGGACCCCACAAGCCCCATCAGAGGCCCCCCACGACGTCTCTTCTTCGTTTTCCTGCTCCTTCTTCACCCTCTATTCCTCCTCCCCCTCGTCCTCCTCCTCGTCCTCCTCCTCCTCCTCCTCCGCCTCCTCCTCGCCATCGTACTCCTCTTCCTTCTCCTGCCCTCTCCCTCCCTCCCGCTCCCTGTTCCTCCCACCCTAAATATATATATATATATATATTATATATTATATATATATCCTTTGTTGTGTGTGTGTGTCTCTCTCTCCCTCTCTCTCTCTCTCGATATATATATATATATATATATATACACATCTATCTCACTCTCTCTCTCTCTCACTTTGTCTCTCTCTCTCTCTCTGACTGCACCACGTGCTTTCCCAAAGGGTTCCTCCCTCAAGGGGTTCCATGGAACAAATAGTTAAATTGCTTGGCCGGGCTTTAGCATAACGTTTGGCCACGTAAACGTATCCAGAGCGGCAGTGGGCAGCGGTGGTCGGCCGCAGACGTCTTTGACTAGACTACGTGAGGATGAGCAGGAGGATGCGGGTGGGAGGGCAGAAGGAGTAAGACGAAACCAGGACGAATATTAATTCGTGTGAGGGTAAATCGAGGATCTCTGAGATCCGGCGGCTCTGGAAGATGCGTTGGGCGCCGCGGCCATCTCAGAGCATTCCAGGACGCTCTGAACGGATTGATCCTCGCCCTAACCCAGTCCAAGAAGAGAGAAAGGCGAGAAGGAGAACAACAACGACGACGGCGACGGCGACGACGACGACGGCGACGACGAGCAGGCCTCCACGAACTTGGCGGACTCCGCCTCTCGAGCCGGCCGCCACTGCCCGCCCCCGTGCTGCTGACTGCGCCCTCCTGGGTGCCGTTCCCCGCGCCCCGGTCCCGCCCCCCCTCGGCCCCAACGCGGGCCCTCGGCCACGAGGAGGAGGGAGGAGGGGGAGGAGGAAGGCGAGGAGGAGGAGGAGGAAGAGGAGGAGGAGGAGGACCATCACATTCTCAAGGGGGGGAAGGCAGAGGGTTGGCCGACCCGACCCAACCCTCTACCTCCAGGGGTGACATCCGATCTCCCTTTCCACTACCCGCCGACCAGCCGCGCTGCGCCTTCCTTGAGGAGCACGGCAGCGAGGAGGCAAGGAAATCGGGGGCCCCCATCCGAGGCCAGAATATCTTCACTATCCTACCGTCTCCTTCGCTGACAAGCGATATATCTCCATCGCCTGCGCCCCTGCCTAGAGGAGCTCGTGGCGGAATCGGCTATCCGAGACGGGATTTCTATCAACATCACAAACCCCACTACGGCCTAGAGGCTTATTCGGGAAAACGAACGAGGGCCCAAAACAGTGCGAGCACAGTGGCGGGCGAGGGGGCCCCAGCGGGGGCCCGCGGAGAGCCCGCCCAAGGCGCGGATATCTTCGCGCCCGCGCCGCACAAGGAGCCCCCTAAAGCTTGCGGAGGCTGCTACGGTTACGAAAGCCTCCTTTCACAATAGGCCACATCTCCATGGCCCTGAAATCTACCTCCATGCCGTCCGAGTCGAACAACAAAATCGTGATGATGCTCTTCCCAGGGTGCTGAAGGAACTTGTGATATCTCTTGTCTAATTTGGCACTGTTACGGGCGTCCGCGAAGTCCTTCCAAAATCCACTGTCATCTCTGTATTCCCAACGCGGAACGGCTTCGAGAGTCGTGAAGGTGGTGTCCATCAGCTCCTTGTTGTCCGCGTTGGCGCTCGATGCTACTGCGGCCTTCGGGTCCACGCCGAGGCCGTTGTGCAGCGCCACCTCGCTCGTGGGGTCCACCGCTGTGTCCTCGAAGCGGTACTCCTGGACTGTGGCGTCGCTCTCGACGATCTGCTGCGCCGGCGATGCCTCAGCGGTCTCCTGCAAGGAGGCGCCCTCCAGGTTAGCGTTCTCGGTGACCTTCGTGATGAAAGACGAGGCGGGGGCAGGCAGTTTGTCAACAGCCTCGCCCTTGGTAGCGAAGTTGCTGCGCATCGCCGCCCCGCACTGCTCGAGTTTGTCGTTTCCGCCGGTTGTGACGATCAGCTCGTTGCTGTCCACGTTGGGCGGATTTGCGCCCTCGACACTGTTGACAATGTTGGGGTTCAGCTTAGGGTCGGCCTCCCTGTAACTTTGCTTAGAGCCTCCTGCCGCTTATTTCCTGGCCCTGCCGCTTATCATCTGGCGTTCCCAGAGAGGCCTGCCACTTATCTTTTGGCGTTCCCAGAGAGGCCTGCCACTTATCTTTTGGCGTTCCCAGAGAGGCCTGCCACTTATCTTTTGGCGTTCCCAGAGAGGCCTGCCACTTATCTTTTGGCGTCCCCAGAGAGGCCTGCCACTTATCTTTTGGCGTTCCCAGAGAGGCCTGCCACTTATCTTTTGGCGTTCCCAGAGAGGCCTGCCACTTATCTTTTGGCGTTCCCAGAGGGGCCTGCCACTTATCTTTTGGCGTTCCCAGAGAGGCCTGCCACTTACCCTGCCGCTTATCCTGCCGCTTATATCTTGGCCCTGCCGCTTACCCTGCCGCTTATATCCGGTTATCCTGCCGCTTATCTTTTCCTACTTCGAAACACGCTGTTACACTGTTTGGGGCCCGCGGTCCGCCACTGTTCGGGGCCCACGGTCCACGCGGGCTAACATTCGACGACGACAACGACGACGACGCACGACGCCGACGACGACGGCGACGACGACGACGACCGACGACCGACGACCGACGACCGACGACGACGACGACGACGACGACGACGACCGACGACGACGACGACCGACGACCGACGACTACGACCGACGACCGACGACCGACGACCGACGACGACGACGACGACCGAACGACCGACGACGACGACGACGACGACGACCGACGACGACCGACGACGACGACGACGACGACCGACCGACCGACGACGACGACGACGACGACGACGACGACGACGACGACGACGAGGCACGCGGCGGCGCGCGCGCGCGGCGGAGGCACGCGGCGGCGCGCGCGGGGCGCGCGCGCCTGCGGCGCGCGGCCGGCGGCGGTGGCGACGACGACGGGCGACGGGAGGACGAGGATGAGGGCGAACGGAGGACGGAGGGCAGGTGGCAGGTGCAAGGAGGGGAGGAATGAAGGGAAAGGAGGAGGCGGTGAGGAGGCGCGAGGCGCTGCGGAGTCAAAACGCGGACCCAACACAACAGGATTGTTATTATTCAAATGGCCTACGCCATTCCGCAATTTCTTTTTCCCCCCCCATCTTTTATTTTTCATTCGTTTCTCCCTTTCGAGAGAGGCACAACGCTGAGCGGCCGCGATGAGGAGAGGGAAGATGGAATATGGGAGGAGGCTTATTTTGAGGAAGGGTCAGGGGTCGGATGACGAATGGAGGATGGAGGAAGCAAGGCAGGATGCATGGAGCAGGGGAGCTGAGGGGAAGATGAGGAGGGCGAGGGCGTGGGAAATAGGAGAAGGGAGAAGGCATACTCGAGACTGGAGAGGGAGGGGGAGGAGAGGAGGAGGAGGCATAGGGCATAAGAACAGCTGCACTCTGCACTCCCGGCCCCGCCCAGTCGGAGCCGCTAGCGCCAGGCTGGGCGCCGGGCGAGTGACGCGCGTCACCCCGCTCTCCGCTCAAAACCCGAAAACCGAACTACGAGGCTGCCGCGCCAGGCTAGGCGCCAGGCGAGTGACGCGCGTCACTCCGCTCTCCGCTCAAAACCTTAAAACCCGAAAACCGAATTACGAACTACGAGGCTGCCGGCTGCCTGGGCAGCTGGGCAGCTAAGCTGAGGCTGCGGCGGAGGTGCCATGCTCGGAGGATGGCGGCGGCTCGTCCTTCTCCTTGGTGCTGAGCTGCTTCAGCGCGATCCCCAGCGGGGCCGGGATCGTGAGATCCTCGACGGTCTTAAGGCACTGCTCGGCCATGGCGTCGCGGGACTCGCCGGGCTGAAGGTCCCTCCAGATCGTCTGCGAGCAAAGCAGAATGCCCATCACGTTATGATAGCTCGCGTACTCATCGCCCGTGTAAGTCCCGATGCAAGCGTCCAGCTTGGCAACGGCAATCTCGATGTTCATCGTGTCCTTGATGGTGATGGCAGTCTTGCGAATGTTTTCCAGGCAAGTCTTGGCCTTCTGGGACTTCTTGAACGTTCTGTAGTACTCCACAGCTTCCTCGCTCTTGACCAAATCCATGATATTGTTGATGCGGTCGGTCGTGTAGTCGCCCTCGTTGCAGAGGGAAGTCAGTTTAGTCAGTTTTTCACCCGCCATCAGCTTCTGGAAATCCGTAATCAGGCTGGCGCCGGCCGCAACGCCCGAGTCGAGGACCGCCGTGGCTGCGGCGTCGAAACGATCGCGGCTTGCCTTGAGGATGGACACCGCCCGCTCAAGAGCCCTGGGCCCCAGGCCCTCAGCAGACTTCATCGAGTTGACCATCTTCTCCGCGAGGGCAACGAACTGAACGCTGGAGTGGATGTCCTGCATCGTTTTGATATGCACATCACCCTTTGAACTCAACTCTGCGTTGTTAAAGGTTTTAGCCACATCATCGCTCTTCACCACGCGTTGCCCCACGTGCAAGATCGGCTGGGTCAAGATGAGCAGGCCTGCACGGAGCGCAGTGGGCGAGGTGTTGCATACGAAACCCACGCCGAGCCATTTGGCGAACTTGTCGAAGTAAACGCCCAAGCGGGCGAGGCTCGCCAACTCGGTAACCTCGCCAACCTTCTCCTTCAGAAAGATCACCTTCAAGAAAGTAGTCGTTCCCTCATGTAGGGCCAGTTCTGGATCAAGAACTGCCTCTGGCTGACCCTCAGTCTGCTCGGGCGCCTTGTCGAGCCACTCGGCCACCAGCTTAGCGAAACTAGAGGGGCAGATTGTTTCAATGCCCCTAAATCCTAACTCCCACCTGTCTTCAGTCACCCGCCCAGGAGGAGGAGCGCGGGGGATATGGTCTGGAGGTCGGAGGAGGACAGCGGACAAGGAGCTGGGGCAGGAGACGGGCAAATGAGAGGAATGAGGAAGGGGGATGGGGTTGGAGGAGAAGAGGATTGGAGCAGGGAGCAGGGGTCCCCACGAAACCCAGCACCCAGAACCTCTGGAAGGGCGCGGTCGTCTGCACGACCTTCGTGGAGAGAGCTTTCGTGACCTCAGTCCTCATCCAACCCTCGAACTTGGCAACCTCTTCCCCAGCCCAACTTGCGACGCGCGCGGCTCTGGGCCCGAGCTGCGCAAAGTAGTCCGCCAGACCCTTGACCTGGGCCGTCCTGACATCAAGGCCCGTCTTCTTCTTCTTGGAGACCTCGGCGATGGCGGGGATCAGCTCCTTCAGATGCTGCGCGGCCACCTTCCCCGACTGAAAAAGCTCGTCGACCTCCTTGGCCTTATCCACGCCGGCAATGTCGTTGATGCCGAGCTGCTTCATCGACCCGAACTCCGTGAGCGCCTTGTCGAAGCTCTCGGAGATCTTGGTCAAAAACTCGCCGTCGACGTTGCCGCTGAGCCCGTCCGTGAGTTTCAAGACTTGGTTCACGCGTGTAACCGCGTCCTCTAGGGCGACCTTCTGGCGATGCCTGCAGTGCGCAACGATGGAGTTGACGATGGCGTCTCTATGGTCGAAGACCTGCTTCATCTTGCTCGCATTGAGCTGCTTGTAGCCTTCGGAAAGCTTCCCATCGAGCTCCAGCGCATTGATGCAGAAAGTCTTGAGATTTTTGCGGTTGTCGATTACGATAGGGCCGCGGAGATCAGCGTCAGTCTTCGGCGCGAATACTGGCACAGTGGAGATCGACGACGCCGGCTTGTCAAGGTTCTGCGGGCACTTGAGGTCTTGCTTGGACTGCAACACAAGCTCGTCAATCTTGGCCGCGATGTGCCGCCCGGCGGGCAGAAAGAAGCAGATCTTATGGAACCTGTGGTTGCGATCCTCGTTGATCTTGGTCTTCGCAGCCGCTCCCTCTGTCAAAGCCCGCGCCTTCTCCTCGGCTGGGAGCGAGTCCGTGATATGAGGCATGCATCCCATTACCTTTGCCATCTGGTCCAACTGGGGCTTGAATGTCACGGTCTCCTCGACGTTCTCGATGATCGCCACGGGCGCAGTGAGCGCCTGGAGCGTTTTCATCATCATGTCGAGTGACTTGGGCTTGTTAACATCAGTCGTCCTGACTGTGTCCAGGAGCTGCCGCATGATTAACTTCTCCTGGATGGGGGCAGCCTTCGACTGATCGTGAATCTGAGCCTGCAACGTGACTCCGCGTCCGCTCCCACCGCCGCCGCTCCATTGCACCACCGCCGCGGCGCGTTCGAAGTCCTTGTCGGCAATGGCCTTGGTGAGGAACGGTGCAGAACGGAGAACGTCAGGGACTCTGGAATTGAATTGCCAATCCCGAAGCACGAGCGGTTACCATGGCATCGAGCAAGCCGTCGCCGTCCTCCTTTCAGGGCGGGCGGAGATATCATAGAAAGAGCACGCGCCAGGGCTCAGGACTCAGGGCCCACGGCCAAAACGGCCTAGGGGGGGGCAGGGCGAGTAGGAGGAAGGAGGAAGGCGGGGGTCTCTGGGGCAGTGGGCAGTTGGAAGATAAGTATGAAGAAAATGCGAGGAGGCGGGAGGGCGGGGGCGGTGTCCAGCTCGCAGCTCGATGCCCCCGGCTTCGAGCTTCGACGCTTCGACCCCTAGAGTTGCAATTAGACGTTTGTTGTCATCTGTAATACATATATGTATACATATATATAAAAGCAGTAACTCGCTTATCGCCTATACACTATACAACGTGGTTTTGTCAAATAGGGCGGGGGTGGGTCGTGGAATATCTAATATCAAATGTCTAGCGGCTAGCGAGGGGCGAGGGGCGAGGGGCGAGGGATGTGTATTGTCGTATTTCGGAAGGGCTGATTCGACGCCCGACTCCCGACTCCTCCTGCTTGCTCTGAAGCTTGGTGACCAGTGGCGTAGCAGCATCGATCTTGGAATTGATATCGTTCATCTCGCCGAGGAGCTGGTCGACGCTGTCCAAGGCGCCGCTGGCCCCAGTGATCAACTCCTCCGAGCCCGACGTGAGGATCTTAATCTTATCAGGTCCTAGAGCGATGTTCATCCTCTTCTTGAGTGAAGTCATGTTGGTCGTCGTGACTCCGTGGGCCATCTGCTCGTCTTCGAGCCTATGGACCACGCCCTGGCACTCCAACAAGCCTGCCTTTGCGAACTGCTCGGCGTCCGCTCGTTTCTCGCGGTCGCCGCTGCTGCCTCCGCCACCACCGCCACCCGAGCCGCCGCCTGCACCGCCTGCGCTGCCTCCTGCGCCTCCGCGGCCTCCTCCGCCGCCGCCGTTGCCGCGGCGGTTACCGCCGCCGCCGCCATCGCCCTCATCGCCATCACCGCCGGCGCTGTTCGAGCTCTTGCCACCTTTAGACTTGACGATGGGTCCGAAGAGAGCGTCGTAGGGAACATAGTCCTCGTCGTCGCTGTCGGCGCCGGCCTTCCTCTTCTTCGTGTCGGGCAGCTTGACCTTCACGTAGTTGCCATCCGCATCGCCCGCCGCGTTAGTCGCGTCGTTGCCCTTGGTTATGGTTGGCTTCAACTTGGCCGCTACCTTCTTGAAGGCCGCGTCAGCGTCGTTCGCCGGGAGCTCGTCGTGCACGGTGACTTCAGCGCCAGATATCGAGCTCAGCTCAATGCACCCATCCATGAACGGGATCGTTGATGAGAGTGCGATTCCTGGAAGGAGCGCCCGAACGCAGTACACAAGTACACAGTGAGCGCGAGGAGCAGAGAACCGCTCCTCTCTCTCGAATCTCGAATCTCGAACGAAGAACGAAGAACGAATAATGAAGAACAAAGAAAGCTGACGGGTGAAGGCTGAAGGGCGAAGGGTGAAGGGGCGAGAGGATGAGAGTTGAGAGTCCAAAGTCTAGTGGCAACTGGCAACTGGCAGCTGTCGACTGTCGAACGAGTAGGAGCAGGGAGGAGAGAGGAGGGGAGACAGGAGACAAGAGACAAAGGAGGGGGCGGGGGAGATGGGAGATGGGGCGAGGATCGAGGAGTCGAGGGGGAGGGATGGCGTTACGAGTTCATTGTCCAGTGTCCAGTCCTGTGAGGTCGGTGTTACCATGCCTGTACTGCGTGCTGAAAGACGCAGGCAACTTCTTGCTGAAGTGTTCCTCGTAGATCGCCTTCGGCCAGAATACCCCGCACTTCATCTTGCCCTCCAGCTTGAGAGTCTCCGTGGCTTCAACAGTCTTCCTCGACTTCTTCGCGCGCCGCTTCCCAGAATGACAGGCGGCGGCAGATTCCCCCTGCTCCTGTCTGAACCGCTTCTGTCTCTCTGGTCCATCCCTCTCGATGTCCTTCTCAAGCTGCTTCCTCTCATCCTTTTCAGCGTAGTTCCACTGGAGGTAGCTCGTGCACTGCCGACACTGACAGCCCTCTCCGCCGCGAGTCCAGGTTACCTCCAAGCTGGAACCCCCGCACCACTAGCAGAACTTCCCCCTGTTGGAACCCTCGCCCCCCGAGTTGGATACGGGCATCGCTGGGGCCCGGCAGCCCGTGGACGTAGGATCCCAGATGAGTTGTAAGTAAGGCAAGCACAGCAACCTGCACAAAACAAACTCCTGCCAAACCAAGCGGCTCGAATGGTGGCGGCGGCCAGGAGTAGCACTAGCAACTAGCAGTGGGCAACGACAAAACAAAGGGGTATACCGAGCAGACCTGACCCCCCAACCCGCCTTGGGACTTGGGACCTAGGAAGGAGGGAGTCGAGCGGGGGAGAGGAGAGAGGAGAGGGGGAGGAGGAGGAGGGGGAAGGAGGAAGTAGGAGGGAGGAGGCCGGAGGACCAGAAGGAGGAGAACAGCGGAGGAGGCGGAGGGAGGATAACGCACCCAGTGAACGAAGCCCGTCGACCGTCGATACATGCACCACGCGCGCTCTTGCATGCCAGGTGCCACGGAGCCCCTAGCCCAGCGCCCAGCGCCCAGCTGTGGACGGCGGGCGGCCAGCGCGAGATGCTCGATGCTCGATGCTCGATGCTCCGACGCCTGACGCCGTGCGCTCTGCGCTCTGAACTCTGAGGTCTGACGTCTGACAACGTGCACAGGTCTGCTCGGCTTGAAGAGGGCAACGGGCAAAGGGCAACGGGCAACGCGCAACGCTGCATCAAGCATCAGGCATCCGTGCCTCAGCTAGCTACAGTCGGCAACTCGCCTAAAATGTGAAACCTGAACTGTGAACTGTGAACTCGTCACTCGTCAGCTCGACTGTCGACGGCTCTCGGCCCTCGGCACCCGCAACCCGAAACCCGCATGCCGCATGCCGCGTTAATATATTCGCTCTTCGCTCGATCCTCTTTTCCCTAGCTTATCTATAAATGATATATACTATGTCCCATTTCCTATCTCCTATCCCCCTATCTCTCTCAATCACTTTCTCTCATGTATTGCTGTCTTGCGTCTTGCTCTCGCCTCTCGCTCACACTCCTCCCTCCTCCCTCCTCGCTCCTCCTGGAGAAATCTAAAGGCCTCCAGCCCCTGGCAATGGGCGCCCCGCCTCATAGGTTGAGTGTCGCTGCTGAACCTGGTCCGTCACCCGTCGCCGTCGTCCTGGATCGCCCCGGGTGCTCCATCGTCACTCGTCACTCTCGTCGCTGTCGCCGTAGCCCATGCCCATGAGATTGTAACCGACAGCCATGGCCCGTTGTGCGTCAGTGTTCTGCGGCATGGCACGAATGCGCAAGCGCACCTCGCCGAGGAACGCACTCAACGCCACCTGCGCGACCATGTAGGCGGATGAGTCGAATGCATTGCCGGCCATGTTCTTCAAAAACGAAGAACTGAACTCCATCATACGAGCGGCGACCTCGCTCGCCCGCGGCTGCGGCCCGAGCAATTCATCGACGAGGAAACCCATCATCATCAGATGTTCCACTCCATGGGCAAGCCTGCTTTTATGAGCTAGATGCACCAGGCTCTTCTCGGTGAGGCACGCCGAACCATGCTTGATGAGCTCGCGGGAGCGACCGAGGGACATGTTGACATCTACGGTGCTCGGCTCATCCTCTGGCAATGACAAGTTGAGTCTCTCCAGCATGTCGAGCTGCCTGGCGGCCAACGCCTTCAAACCTGGATGTCGCGCGGCCGCGTCCTCCTCCCGGAACGGCGAGGGCTGCCACCAATCAGAACCAGCCTTCTTATTCCACACGGCGTGTCTGCCAGGCCATAAAGGGGCGGCCTCCTTCTTCTGTTTCTTCCGCGGCGGCTCAGCCGTCGTTAAGGAATTCATGTAGCCCTCTAGGATGGCGTGTCTCTCCGGGAGAAGGAACTCGTCCAAGGGGGCCGCAGGGTGGTGGGACAGGCGGGCCAATACGGCCTGCGCCTTCGCCGCGAACTCCTCCTGCGAGACGCCAGCGGCCTCGAGCAAATCGTTCTTGACACCTTAGAACCCCCGCCAATCGCAAATCGGGGCGCGGGGCGCAGAGAGGGGAAAGGGAGAAGGTAGGGGAGATGGGGGGCGATGACAGAGAACAGAGACGAGAGAGGGGGGGGCGGGGATGGGGATGGAAGAGGCGAGAGACAAGAGGAAGGAGGAAAGGGATGGGGAGGAGGGGAGAGAGGAAGGGAAAATGGGAAGGAGAAGGGAGAGGATGTGAGAGGGAGGGGAGGAGGGAGGGGAGGAGGGGGGGGGAAGAAGCGGGAAAAGGTGAATGTGGGAGAAGGGAAGAGAGGACAAAGGTGGGGGGAAATACGTAAGTGGGGAGGGAGGAAGGATGAGGGACGAGGGAGAAGGAATCAGGGCCCAGCAATATTCCATTGGTTGGGGCTTGCTTGCGCCATCGGTTGCGCCCTCGTCCGCCGAGAATAAAAGCTCCTATTGCTTGCGCCATAGGTTGCGCCCTCGCCCGCCGAGAATAAAACAATATTGCTTGCGCCATAGGTTGCGCCCTGGGGCGCCGAGAATAAAACGGGAAATAACAAGAGTGGGGATGAAGGGACGACGAGGGAAAGGAATCAGGGCCCACGGCGTCGCAATATTCCATTGGTTGGGGCTTGCTTGCGCCATCGGTTGCGCCCTCGTCCGCCGAGAATAAAACAAGCTCCTATTGCTTGCGCCATAGGTTGCGCCCTCGCCCGCCGAGAATAAAACAAGCTCTTATTGCTTGCGCCATGGGTTGCGCCCTGGGGCGCCGAGAATAAAACGGGCCCCTAACATATGCGACCAGTTCAGTCCAGTCCAGTCCAGTTCAGCTTACTACGCGAAAAACAAATTCGGGCTACGCCCGAAAACAATCAAAACTAAACTCGGCGACATGTTTATTTTTTGTTTTCTGTGCGCG